CATCACGATACAAAAAAGGCGTTGAGACTCTAGAAAGAGTGCAGAGAAGAGCAACAAAGACGATCAGGGGACTGGAGGCTAAAACACACAAGGAACGGTTGCTGGAATTGGGTATGTCCGGTTTAATGAAGAGAAGGACGAGGGGTGACCTGAAAGCAGGGTTCCAACATCTCAGGGGCTACCCCAAAGAAGAGGGAGTCAAGCTCTTCTCCGAAGCGCCTGAAGGCAGGCAAGAAGCAATGGAAGATCATTAAAGAGAGATCACAGTGAGAACAACTAATTAGTGGGAGTTGCTTTCAGAAGGTGTGAATGCTCCAACACTGGAGGTTTTTAAGAAGAGATTGGACAGCTATTTGTCTGGATCTGTATGGGGTCTCCTGCTTGAGGAGGGGGTTGGATTAGATGACCTCCAAGGCCCTTCCCAGCCTTATGATTCTATGTTCTAACACGCTGTTGGGCCCTTTTATTTACAACAGATGCATTGTGTGTGTGACACCTTCATCAAATTCTCTGACCATTACTTCAAAATCTCTTTCCTCACGACTCACGGAAACAACGCTATACAGGCTTTAGATCACCTCTCCCTGTATTCTTAAGGACTAGAAACTTGATTTTGAGCTTTTGCTTTGAAGGCATGGCCTGACAGGCCAGCGGGTTGCCTTTCGCAACCAAAAAAAAGCTGCAGTCCTAAATAGCTACAGGGTGTTGAGTCCAGAATAAAGTGCAAAAGTCACTTTCTAAACCTGGAGAAAATTCACTCAAACTTCACTCACACCAAAGACAGACTAGGAAGATGTCCCGACATTCTGTGGCACCTTTCTGGCTAATTCCCTTTGTCAGGATTTTTATGTTGTTATTTTTTTTTATTAGTTTATAATGTAAAATACAAAAAAAGTCACAAGAGAAAATAGGGGGAAAGTAAAGGAGGCAAAAGGGAAAGGAAACATGTAGGGCAACAGGAAAAAAAAGAAAGAAAAGTGTTGACTTCTCCCTTTGGTGTAGTAGAATAAGAGAATAGCATCAAATCTCAACTTTTTATTTAAACTAGCCATTTCTACAACAACAAACCTATCCAATTGGTAAAACACCAAATCAAAGTTTCATTTACCTCAAGCACAAAGTCCAATTTCCAAGCAATAACAAAAGTAATTGTGGGGTTTTTTTCCCCCTCTTTAATCAAAGCCGTCAATTTAGCCATCTCTGCTAACTCCATCAGCCTTTTCCTTTATCAGGATTTTTAAAGAAAATTTAGACCTGCAGAATTATCCCTACTTGGTAGGAACCGCTGCCCCCTGGTGGGGCTTTACCAGAATATGAATCCCGAAATAACAAAATATAAAAGAAGAAATTAAAAAAAGGAGACAAGGAAAAAAGTTATTATACTCAATGAGCAACTCTGAAAGTTAAAACGTTAAGAAATGCTTTAAAAAAAATAAACAGTGTTGGCTCAGCTTAAGCGGAGTTGCTTGCTTTAAAATTCCAAATCAGGAATTGGTGTAAAAATGGAAAAATCGAAAGAGCAATTTAACAACAATTTAGCAACTGACACAAAAATACTTAACACGGATCTACAGCAAGCCTTGATTTAACACAGGAATGGAGAGGGTAGTGGTGTTTCTATTAAACTGTAAATGTAATCATCTCCGAGGATTTAAATGACATAACTGACTGGGAATGAATCAATTATACATTTAACATCAATTTAATTTCTTTATCTGGAGAATTTCAGATGCAGCAGACTTCATAAATCAGGAGGTTGCCAAGCATCCGAATTTTGAGCCCGTGACCTTTGGTCATAAGTGTGAAAAATGGTCATAAGTCACTTTTTTCAGTGCCGTTCTAACTTTCACCGCAGAAGGTTACTAAACAAATTATTGTAAGTTGAGGACTAAATTTCTAAAGTTTCTTAAATCAAGATTTCAGTCAATTTATGCACATGGAGCCAACGTAAGTAAAAAAAAATATTGCAAATTTTTTTGTTTAGTCTTCCACGTGTCTTCATTTTTATTATTTCTTTTAACCCCATTTCTAGCCTGCACAATTACAGGCGTATATTAAAAACCTTACTTGGGATGTGGCTGCAAATGTCAGCAGAATTCGAACAAAGAGCACCTGAGACTTATATAATTCAAAGCACCTGGGCCTCCGGGACTCCAAAGACTTGGTTTATTGGTGGGCAACTTGCAGCTATAGACTGCAGTCCTCTGTGTATGTTGGAGTACTATAGCTCCCATCATCCACAGGCCAGCCAAGCTGACTGCTGAATAGGAAATCTCTGGTTAAAGCCCTAGAACCTTTTTAATGCCGCAACCCCCAATCGGTCGTAAGTCAAGGACTACTCAACTGGTGCAGCACCGTTTGCAGAATGGGACTTTTGGTGGGCTCAGCAGGGCAGAGACAGCCTGGACAATTCCGGTTGGCTTTTGAAAGCCAATAGAATTAGACTCTATTCAAGAGAGTCTATTCTATTGGCTTTCAAAAGCCAATAGAATAAAAGGGAGTAGCACAGCTAAGGAAAAGGGGAAAAAATATGGCGGACTGCGTTATTTGGCGACCCCCGTGAAATGGTCGTTCGACCCCAAATGGGGTCCCGACCCACAGCTTGAGAACCGCTGCCTTAGAAATTAGTTGGGTTCCGTGGGTGTGTTGTTCCCAAAACTGGGTCTTAGCTTGGTGTCGAAGCCAATTAATTACATCAAACCCAAAATACGGAAAAACAGACATTTTATTTTGATACCCAAGAATAAAAGTGACCTCGGCTTTGAAAGCTACTGAGGCCCCGTTTACAGTCTTACAGCAGTTTTTATAACCAATATCCCCCCCCCTGCCCACCCAACGCCTTCCCTCCCCCAGATAATACATGCATAACATATAAGATTGATCGGCTACCTGGATTGCAGCTCCTTCAAGCTTTCTCGCTTGCTATGCAAAAAAGCTAAATGTCACGCCACCTTAAGTCACAGCAATATTGCAAAATTTCTAGTTTCCTGTGCCGGCTATGTGGTTTGGGGTTTTCTTATTAGTGAGCTATTCGTGTACCCAACATCCTGGCTAAGTGGTCGAACCTGTGAATCTGTCTCACTTCATTGTCCTTCCAAACCCCCCCATCCCCTGCAGCCCCTCCCTAACATGTCAACTTCTAACAAGCTTGTCTGCAAAGCCCTCCGTGAGCAGAAGGGGGGGGGGAAGCTGTTAAAGACAAAGTTGTTTAAGAGTCAATGTTTCATCTTCCTCACAACCACACCTGGGTTGTGGTCATCTCCACATATGACCTTTCTTCTGATCCCCAGGGCCTCATCTGCACGTACATTCTTTCACCTGATCCTTCAGGTGTCTATATGCAGGAGCTGGACAGGAGGCAGAACACTCCTTTTTCCCTACAACAATCCTGCGAGGTTGGCTAGGGAATCTTAGCAATGGGTCAAATTCCTCCAGAGAAGCTTCTGTGGTTGTGGAGGGACTCAAAGCTGGGTCTGGCTGCTCTCAGTCCAGCCCTACCCCCCCCCCCACTACCTCAGCCTGATTAGGGCAGATCATAACCAATAACTTTTTCCTATAATTTTTTTATGACTTTTCCAGCCAAATATTTTTCACTGATTGCTTTTCTCTGCAAACTCCTGCACTTTTTCCTAACAAGGTGCTCTTTATGTAAATCTTGACTCTGTTCTTTTACTTCCACCATAGGAGGTTTTTAAGAAGAGACTGGACAGCCCTTTGTCTGGAATGGAATAGGGCAGGGGTAGGCAACCTTGGCTCTTTTATGACCCATGGACTTCAACTCCCAGAATTCCTGAGCCAGCCTGGCTCAGCTTGGAAACCTCTCCCGTTCCCCTCAGCATGGCTGGCTCAGGAATTCTGGGAGTTGAAGTCCATGATTCATAAAAGAGCCAAGGTTGCCTACCTCTGGTCTAGGCCTAGGCTGCTTTATGACTCTTGAACCTCAACTCCCAGAATTCCTGAGCCAGCATGAGGGAAACTTTGGCCCCTTCATGACTCGTGGACTTCAACTCCCAGAATTCCTGAGCCGGCAGAGCTCAGCTTGGAAACCTCTTGCTTTCCCCTCAGCATGGCTGGCTCAGGAATTCTGGGAGTTGAAGTCCACGAGTCATAAAAGAGCCAAGGTTGCCTACCCCTGGTATAGGGTCTCCTGCTTGAGCAGGGGGTTGGACTAGATGACCTCCAGGGTCCCTTCCAACTCTGTAATTGTATGTTCTATAATGTTTTGCTCATTTTTTTTACAACTAGCAAGAGACTATTTAAAAGCCCAGTCCCATCTTACGGCCTCTCCAAGCAGAGGGTTTCAAATCAAACAAGACTCTTTGCTTTTTCAGTCTTTAGAGAAGCGTCTGGCAACAGCTAGGAGGCAAAATGAACTTTTCCCCTTCAATTCATGGGGCAAAGTCCATGTTTCTGTGCAGTGGGTGGGCAAAGGTCTCGTTTATGCAAGCAAGCAAAGCCATGTAAAAGTTGCAAAGGCAGGTAGTCCTCTAGTTAACGACCAGAACTGGGCCCAACATTTATATTGTTAAGTGAGACGCTTGTCAAGTGAGTTTTGCCCCATTTTATGACCTTTATCGTTAAGCGGAATCATTGCGGTTGTTAAATTAGTCACCCGGTCGTTAAGTGGATCTGGCTTCTCCATGGACTTTGCTCGTCGGAAGGGCGCAAAACAGGATCACGTGACCCCCCCCCCCCCGGATGCTACAACCGTTGTAAATATGAACTCGTTGCCGAGCGGAAATCGCCAATCACCTGATCCTGGGGAGGCCGCAACTGTCACGAGTGTGGGAAAGGGTCCTAAGTTATTTTTTTTTCAGTGCCGTTGTAACTTGGAACGGTCGCAAAACGAACTGTTGAACGTCGAGGACTATCTAGAAATGTAATGCTGTAACCGAGTTCCCTGATTAAGGGATTTCCTGTCGCTGTTTTCTTAATTTAATACAATCTCTGAAGAGGCTAATAAGGGCAGATCTGCAGCTGCTGAAGCAGCCTGAACTTACCATATTCGCCAAAGGCGAGGAAGGGGCACTGCCACCACCCCACGATCCACGAGACCGTTTTCACCCCGAGCCAGATCAACAGCATTCCCAAAGTGGCATCCAAGATGAAGTTCATCAGATAACTGTGGCAGAACCAGGAGAGAAGCAAGGAAAACTTTAAGAGAGCCGAATCTGATCCAGTGGTGAAGTACCAAGCTAGAAGCCAGGAGACAGAGTTCTAGTCCCATTTTAGGCATGAAAGCCAGCTGGGTGACTTTGGGCCAATCACCAGGGGACTCTGAGTTCTTGTCCCGCCTTAGGCATGAAAGCTGGCTGGGTGACCTTGTGCCAATCACCAGGAGATGGTGAGTTCTAGTCCTGCCTTAGGCATGAAAGCTAACCAGGTGGTTTTGGGCCAATTACCAGGAGATGGTGAGTTCTAGTTCCGCTTTAGGCATGAAAGCCAGCCGGGTGATTTTGGGCCAATTACCAGGAGATGGTGAGTTCTAGTCCTGCCTTAGGCATGAAAGCTAACCAGGTGATTTTGGGCCAATTACCAGGAGATGGTGAGTTCTAGTCCTGCCTTAGGCATGAAAGCTAACCAGGTGGTTTTGGGCCAATTACCAGGAGATGGTGAGTTCTAGTCCCGCCTTAGGCATGAAAGCTGGCTGGGTGATTTTAGGCCAATCACTAGGAGTTGGTGAGTTCTAGTCCTGCCTTAGGCATGAAAGCCAGCCGGGTGACTTTGGGCCAATAACCTAGAGATGGTGAGTTCTAGTCCTGCCTTAGGCATGAAAGCCAGTTGGGTGACTTTGAGCCAGACCCTCTCTCAGCCCAACCCACCTCAAAGGTTGTGGAGAAAACAGGAGGAAAAAAGAGTATTAGGCATCTTTACCGCCTTGTGTTATTTATACAAATAACAATAAAGGCAAGATACAGTTCCATAAATAAAAAAATAAAAGACATATGTGAACTGAGTCACTTTGGGCTGCAAACGATACCGAGTGCTGTATAGATCCCATCAATACGAATGCATGAAAGCAAAGTAGGAAATCAATTCTTGATCCCAGTTCGCTGCAAAGTCATGGTGTCTCCACACCACCGTTTCCCAATTTAGAGGCAAAAACAAACCACGGTTTGCTACGAACCAGGAATCCAGGAGGATAGGAGGACTGTACGGGTCTAAGACACAACTCTTTATACACAAAAGCCAAACTCACAGAGAGCAAGGGTCTCTTTCCGTAAGGTCAGACAGGAAGACGTTGGCAAAGTGGATGAAGACAGCCCCGATGGCTTGCTTGGATGTGTCGTAAAACCTTGAAAGAATTTGGATTCAAGAGACAGCAGTGCTTTAAAGACCTGGGGGGGAGGACTTTATTAATCCAACAGAACAGAAAAAGGAAAAATAATAAAACAGAAAGAGTAAAACGTAGGTCAGTATATACAGGTAGTCCTTGACTTATGACCACAACTGAGGCCAAATTTTCTGTCGCTAAGCAAGGTAGTTTGTTCACAGAGTTTTGCCCAGTTTTACGTTTCTCGTCACAGTTGTTAAGGGAATCACAGCGGTTAAGTTAGCAAGATGGTTGTGAAGCGAATCTGACTTCCCCTCTGTTTGTCAGTAGGTTGCGAAAGAGGATCGTGTAACTTTGGGACATGGCAACTGTCACAAATGCATGCCAGTTGCCAAGCATCTGAATTCTGATCACATGAACATGGAGAGGCTGCAACAGTCCTGTGTGAACAACGGTCACAGGTTGATTATTTTCAGTGCTGTTGTAACTTTGAATGGTCACTGAAGGAAAGGTTGTAAGTCAAGGGCTATCTTTAAAGCTTTATATTTTCATTTTAAAAAAATGACCGTATTTCACTTTAGAAGTGATTACTCACCCAAACACAGGTGATCTACCTATCTATCTATCTATCTATCTATCTATCTATCTATCTATCTATCATCTATCATTATCTATTTATCATCTATCATTATCTATCCATCTATCCATCTATCATTATCTATGTATCTATCATTATCTATTTATCTATCATAATCTATCTACCAGCTATCTACCTACCTACCTACCTATCTATCTATCTATCATTATCTATTTATCTTTCTATCATAATCTACCATCTATCATAATCTACCATCTATCATTATCTATCTCTATCATTATCTATCTCTATCTATGTATCTATCTATCTACCTATCATTATCTATCATTATCTATCATTATCTATCATTATCTATCATTATCTATCATTATCTATCTATCTATCTATCTATCATCTATCTATCATTATCTATTTATCATCTATCATTATCTATCCATCTATCTATCTATCATTATCTATTCATTTGTCATAATTATCTACCATCTATCTACCTACCTACCTATATCTATCTATCATTATCTATTTATCATCTATCATTATCTATCCATCTATCTATCTATCTATCTATCATTATCTATTTATCTTTCTATCATAATCTACCATCATTATCTATCTCTATCATTATCTATCTATCATTATCTATCTATCTATGCTATATCATTATCTATTTATCTATCATCTATCATTATCTATTCATCTATGTATTTATCTCTTCTATGGTGAGCTGTCTCAAGGAAAGCGATTGCACGGCGGACAAAAGAAGTGATACAAAGACATGTTGAAAGCCTCTCTCAAGTCCCTGGATATTAACACCATCTCTTGGGAACTTCTGGCGCATGATCAACCGACATGGCGCACCTTGATGTACCAGGGTTGCCAGACATATGAACACAGAAAGACAATCTTGGCACAAGAAAAGTGAGCACTCCGCAAAGCCAGAGCTGTAAATGCTGAAGTAACAGTGTCTACATTTCTTTGTTCAGTATGTGGCAGAACATTCTGTGCTAACATCGGTCTTATTAGCCACCTACGGACACATCGTTGATGGCCCATAACCCACAAGATGTCAAGGTCTTCATCGAAATCGATGGACGAACTATGTATTTATCATCTATCTCATAATCTATCATCTATCATTATCTAACTTCTATCATTATCTATCATCTATCATTATCTATCTTCCATCTATCATTACCTAGCTATCTAGCTATCTATGTATCATATCTATCTATCTGCCTGCCTGTCTGTCTATCTATCATTATCTGCCTGCCTGCCTATCATCTTACCATATTCTCCAAGACCGCCTCTCTTCTTTTGGCTCCTTAAATCGTTTTACTGTGAAAAGACAATATTTATACATATATATATATTTAAAAAATATATGATAAATGGAAACATGTATATAACAACAGTCAGGCTGGTTGAGCTTTAAATAAGTTCCATTCAACGTGTTAAACTTGATATTCCTTATTCAGATCATAATGGCCTACCAGAGATCCAGGATTTAAAGTGAGTAATCACCGCTCTCCTGCCCACTTAGCAGTTCAAAAGCATGCAAATGCGAGTGGATAAATAGGTACTTGGAAAGATGGAGGGCAAGAGAAGAAGGGGACGACAGAGAAGGAGGTGGCTGGATGGAGTCGCTGAAGCAGTAGGCATGAGCTTAAATGGATTCCAGAAGATGGTAGAGGACAGGAAGGCTTGGAGGAACATTGTCCATGGGGGTCGCGATGGGTCAGACACGACTTTGCAACTAACAACAAAATAGATACGTCGGTGGGAAGGTAGCAGCATTCCGTGCTCCTTTGGCGTATAGATATGCTGGCCACATGGCCACGGAAAATGTCTTCAGACAACGCTGGCTCACTCAGCCTCCTAAAGTCAGATATGGCTGGACAGGGAAACCTTTATGTTTTTAATCTCCACTCTATTTTGAAGTACCTACCTGATTGGACCCAATTTTACAACGTTTTTATAGTGGTTGTTAAGAAAATCAATATATTCCTATTGACATTGCTTTGCCAGAAACCAGTAAAAAAAAGTGGAAATTGGCAAAAGAAAAATCATAACCTGTGGTCACATGACCCAGAACATTATAACTGTTGGCCAGTGTAGAGCCAATCACATCTGGATGTGAGCCCTGAAACTTACATAGTAAACTTCAAAATACGAACACAGAATAACAGATTAATCGAATTGGAAGGGACCTTGGAGGTCTTCTAGTCCAACCCCCTGCTCAGGCAGGAAACCCTATACCAGGGGTAGGCAACCTTGGCTCTTTTATGACTCGTGGACTTCAACTCCCAGAATTCCTGAGCCAGCCATGCTGAGGGGAAAGGGAGAGGTTTCCAAGCTGAGCCATGCTGGCTCAGGAATTCTGGGAATTGAAGTCCATGAGTCATAAAAGAGCCAAGGTTGTCTACCCCTGGTCTAGGAGGCTCACCGCTTAGAACAGGAGGACTTAGGCCACGGGTAGGCAACCTTGGCTCTTTTATGACTCGTGGATTTCAACTCCCAGAATTCCTGAACCAGCATGGCTAAGCATGGAAATCTCTCCCTTTCCCCTCAGTATGGCTGGCTCAGGAATTCTGGGAGTTGAAGTCCACGAGTCATAAAAGAGCCAAGGTTGCCTACCCCTGGGCCTATACCATTTCAGACAAATGGCTGTCCAGTCTCTTCTTAAAAACTTCCAGTGTTGGAGCATTTACTGCTTCTGGAGGCAGATGGTTCCACTGGTTAATCATTCTCACTGTCAGGAAATTTCTCCTTAGTTCTAGGTTGCTTCTCTCCTTGGTCAGTTTCCATCCGTTGCTTCTTGTCCTGCCTTCAGGTGCTTTGGAGAAGAGCTTGGGACCAGAATTTTCCACCGCTAAGCGAGGCAGTCATTAAGTGAATCGCCCCCAATTTTACAACTTGTTTTGCTGCAATCACAAAGCGAATTACCACAGTTGCTCAGCGAATCTGCTGCCCTTAATTTAAGCAAGCATCGACTTTGCTTCTCCGAAGCCGGTTGGGAGGCAAATGGTGATCGCAAGGCCTCAAGCCACCTGAAGGAAGTCCCATTTTAAGCCCTGAAATTGTGATGGTGAAGTATTTAAGGTTGAAATGTTGGGTTTGGGCCCTGTTGAGGTGATCTAACCTGGTGGGAATTGAACCAAGTTCAGAGACCACCAAGAACTGAATAAAGTTTGAATGTGTCCATCTCTGAATCTGTACCTTCCATCTGGAGTGGCTTTGATTGACACCCAGGATCTTTTTTTGGGGGGGAAGATAGCCCCTCAAAAACATATCTCGCAGATTTTGTCCCACCTCAGCCCCTCTTTAATTCTAGTCAATACTCCGTAATGCAGAGTCATTATTGAATTAATGCCTATTGTGCAATTAATTATTTCCCTATCAAGCCCCTTTTTGTCATTACTGGCTGTGATAATTACACTGCCTCTGATCACTCTCTCAGATTTAATGAGGCTTGATGAGAAGGCTCACCTCATTAGCTCTCATCATTTCTAAATTGCCATCTTATCACACTTGAAAGCTGGGTGTTCAAGCCATGCTAGACAGGATTCACAAAAGGTATTATTTTCCATTAACGGAAGATTTAAAAACACGATCATCCAGAGATCATCTTACAAGCTGAAAATTCTGGGTTTTTTTCTCTCTCTTTCAAAACCTGTCAACTAGCAAAAACAAAAAAAACAAAAAAACAAGAGTGGGTAGAATTTCAGTTTTTGCTTAAAAAGGAGGGTTTGATGACATCATGAAGATGTCATCTCGCAAAAAGACTCAAACTGCACAACTGGTGTCATTTGCACAATGACGCACAGAGCCTCAAAAAAGTTTGGATCAGAGGTCTACAGGAATGTTTCTATTTCATTTTATGGGAGAAACCGGACATGGCTGAAAAGGGAAAAGATTTTTGACATCTAAACAAAATCTAGAGCACCAGGAAAAGGTCCCTTCACTGCTCACCTTATATGGTGAGACAAGTGGAATATAAATCAGAAAACCCACATTTGATCTCTTAAGATATTCAATAAAGCAGTACATTGAACATTTTGAAATGTATTGTGCATTGCCCAGAGTTCCTCTGTGAGTGAGATGGGCAGTTTTTAAATATGATGGATGGATGGATGGATGGATGGATGGATGGATGGATGGATGTAGAAATAGCTGTAGATATAGACATAGAGAGAGATGATAGATAGGTGGATAGATGATAGCTAGATAGCAACAGATAGATAGACAGATAGATAGATAGATAGATAGATAGATAGATAGATAGATAGATAGATGATAGATAGATAGATAGATAGATAGATAGATAGATAGATAGATAGATAGATAGATAGATGGGAGGAAGGAAGGATAGATAGATAGATAGATAGATAGATAGATAGATAGATAGATAGATAGATAGATAGATGGAAAGAAAGAAGGAAGGAAGGAAGGAAGGATAGATAGATAGATAGATAGATAGATAGATAGATAGATAGATAGATAGATAGATGGAAAGAAAGAAGGAAGGAAGGAAGGAAGGAAGGATAGATAGATAGATAGATAGATAGATAGATAGATAGATAGGACGGAAGGAGGGAGGGAGGAAGGAAGGAAGGAAGGAAGATAGGATAGATACAGATAGATAGATAGATAGATAGATAGATAGATAGATAGATAGATAGATAGATGAACAGATAAATAAAATGGAACCTAGAGATAAGTGGGATGTCTATGGAGATTCTCCATCATCCAGGTCATGGTTGTCCCAAAGATGCTTCTTCACAAGGTTACTGGACTTTTTTGTTTTTTCTTTGAAGACGTTTCACTTCTCATCCAAGAAGCTTCTTCAGCTCTGACTGGACGGGGGTGGAATGGAAGGAGTCTGTGTTGTCTGTGTTGCAGACTCATCCCCAACAGCCTGCGCCTGTCTCCAACAGACGAGACCCAGAGCGGAAAACATCCTGCAGCCAAGAAGGCCCCACACCCATTTGCACCACTCAGGTGACCCTGAGGACACCGACAAACCTCCAAGTGGTCTCAGTGACCCTCTAAAAGAAGGCAAATGACCAGCTGTCTGCAAGGAGTATAAATCCCTCCATTCCCCACCATCCAGTCAAGAGCAGAACAAGCTTCTTGGATGAGAAGCAAAACGTCTTCAAAGAAAAACAAAGAAAGTCCAGTTGCTTCCTGAAAAAACATCTTTGGGACAACCATGACCTGGATGATAGACATTAAGGTCTAATCTTCTCTCCCGTACATTGGTAAATGTTTTACTACTGCAATTGATTCCACAGACACAACCATCCTGGTTTCTTGGCTATGACACAATAATAGTTTGACACTCACTTTGTTTGTTTGTTTGTTTGTTTGTTTTCAATTTCCAGGTCTAACTTCTGGCTTATCATCGTGAGATGACCTAGCTCAGGGGTAGGCAACCTTGGCTCTTTTATGACTCATGGACTTCAACTCCCAGAATTCCTGAGCCAGCCGTGCTGAGGGGAAACGGAGAGGTTTTCAAGCTGAACCATGCTGGACCAACTCCCAGAATTCCTGAGCCAGCCGTGCTGAGGGGAAAGGGAGATGTTTCCAAGCTGAGCCAGGCTGGCTCAGGAATTCTGGGAGCTGAAGTCCACGAGTCATAAAAGAGCCAAGGTTGCCTACCCCTGGTCTAGGAGGCTCACTGCTTAGAACAGGAGGACTTAGGACAGGGGTAGGCAACCTTAGCTCTTTTATGATTGGTGGACTTCAACTCCCAGAATTCCTGATCCAGCCATCTGAGGGGGGGAGAGAAGTTTCCAAGCTGAGCCATGCTGGCTGAGGAATTCTGGGAGTTGAAGTCCACCAGTCTTAAATTAGCCAAGATTGAGGAGCCCTGATATAGGGCAGGGATAGGCAACCTCGGCTCTTTTTTTGACTCGTGGACTTCAACTCCCAGAATTCCTGAGCCAGCATGGCTCAGCTTGGAAACCTCTCCCTTTCCCCTCAGCATGGCTGGCTCAGGAATTCTGGGAGTTGAAGTCCACGAGTCATAAAAGAACCAAGGTTGCCTACCCCTGGCCTAGCTGGTTCTTTTCCATTCAAGTACCAACCATTCCTGCATCTATTTAGCTTCCCAGCAGAGACACACAGGTGCTCCTACCTGTTGAATCAACTTACTGTGGCACAGCAAATCCTGAATTTGCCACTAATTTCATAACTGTACTTCGGAGGGAATTATAGCTCAGAGACCAGACAAACCATCTTACATGCGGGAGAGTCCCAGATTCAATTTTCATTTTAAAAAGATCTGTAAATTGATGATGATTTTATCTTGACAGGACTCGGGACTCTGAACTTAGCAACAAGGTACTTGCTGAATTCCAAGGCTGAAATCAGGAAAACAGCTGTAGAGTCCTCAACGTATGACCACAACTGAGCTCCAAATTTCCTTTGCTAAGCCAGACAGATTTAAGTGAGCTTTGCTCCATTTTATGACCTTCCTTTCCATAGTTGTTGTGGATCACTAAAGTTGTTAAGTTAGTAACAGGGTCATTAAGGAAAACTGGCTTTCCCATTGACTTTGCTTGTCAGAAGGTCGCAAAAGGGCAGTGGTGGGATTCAGCCGGTTTGCACCAGTTCGGGAGAACCGGTAGGTAATTTTTTGTTGACTTTGGAGAACCGGCTGAATGTACACCGCTTCTGGAAGTCCATTTTAGGCCTTGGAGGCCTGGAGGAGACCTCCCAGGCCTAGAACAGCCCGCCGGAAGTGTGTGGATGCCACTTCCAGAAGTCCGTTCTAGGCCTTGGAGGCCTGGAAACCTCCAAGGCCTAGAACGGCCTGCCAGAAGTGCATAGATACCACTTCTGGAAGTCTATTCTAGGCCTTTGAGGCCTGGAGGAGACCTCTCAGGCCTAGAACAGCCCACCGGAAGTGTGTGGATGCCACTTCCGGAAGTCCGTTCTAGGTCTTGGAGGCCTGGAGACCTCCAAGGCCTAGAATGGCCCGCCAGAAGTGCGTAGATACCACTTCTGGAAGTCCATTCTAGGCGTTGGAGGCCTGGAGGAGACCTCCCAGACCTAGAACAGCCCGCCGGAAGTGCGTGGATGCCACTTCCGGAAGTCTATTCTAGGCCTCGGATGCCCAGGCCCAGAATGGACTTCTTGAAGTGGCATCCATGCAGAGAACCAGTTGTTCAAGTATTTGAATCCCACCCCTGCAAAAGGGGATCACATGACACACACACACACACACACACCCAGCACACCTCAACCGTCATAAATATGAGCCAGTTGCCAGGCATCCCAATTTTGATCATGCGACCACGGGGAGGCTGCCATGGTCCTGAGTGTGAAAAACAGTCATAAGACCTTTTTTTTTTTTCAGGGCCATTATAACTTTGAACGGTCACTAAACAGACGGTTGTAAGTCAAGGACTACTTATATCATGTAGCCCTTGATTTCTCGGCTTCTCTTCCTTACAAATGCATTTCCTAACAGATTGGGAAATGGTCCAATGTTTAAGCAGATTTTAAAATCAAATCACAGGAAAAAAAAAAAAAGAGGCCTCCAGCTATCAAGAGATATTTGGGGTCTCAAGAGCCCCTAATTAAAATGCAAAGAGAAGGATGCTAATTCTCGTGTCCAGTTCGTAGACTTTCTGGGCATCTCGTGTCCAATTCATAAACTTTGGTTAATCATTCTGGAAACAAGATGCTAGGCTGGATACTGTACATTTTTGGTACCCAGCAGGACTGTTTAGCTTCCTCACCATGCAAAAGGAGCCCTGAACTTTGCTTTGTCGACCCCCCCCCCGTGAATAGCGGGGGCTCATCAGTTCCAGACATGAAGAGGCTGCAGAGCTGTCTTCAACCCAGCCCCAGAGACAACATTTCCCCCTCCTGTCTCCTATTCCCATTCAGCTCAGCTTCTCCAGATGGCCAAGTGGGTAAAAACACAATGGGTAAAGACGCCAGAGCAGCTGCCCCAGAGAAAACCAAGCCCAGCCCCACGTTGCCAAGCTGAGATGCCAGATTTGGCAGGGAGGCTTAGGAAAGGAAGGCTGGGTGGATAGGATGGGGGGGGGGCAAAGTTTCTGCCGGAGTCTGAGTTTTCATTACGGATGACCCAATTATAGGCAACCTGGCTGGCCTTGCCACAGAAAATCCACATTTGATCTCTTAAGCTATTCAATAAAGCAGTACATTGAACGTCTTGAAATGTATTGTGCATTGCCCAGAGTTCCTCTGTGAGTGAGATGGGCAGTTTTTAAATATGATGGATGGATGGATGGATGGATGGATGGATGGATGGATGGATGGATGTAGAAATAGCTGTAGATATAGACATAGAGATGATAGATAGGTGGATAGATGATAGCTAGATAGCTAGATAGCAACAGATAGATAGATAGATAGATAGATAGATAGATAGATAGATAGATAGATGATAGATAGATAGATAGATAGATAAGAGAGAGAGAGAGAGATGGATGTAGGTGCATGGATGGATGGATGGATGGATAGGTAGGTAGGTAGGTGGGTGGGTGGATGGAATAAATGATAAAGGTAAGATGACAGATATGATAGATATATCTATCTGTGAGATGATAGATGAGAAATAGACAGATAGGCAGAAGATAGAGATAATGTAGATAGATAGATAGATAGATAAATGTAGATAGAGAAAGGGGAAAGGGGCAATGAGAAAGAGAAAAAGAAATAAGAAAGAGAAGGAAGGGGAAAGGGCAAAAAAGGCAGGAGGGAGAAAACAGGAAGCAAAGGAAGGAGAAAGGCGCAAAGAGAAAAAGAGAAAAACAAACAAGAAAGAAAAGAGAAGGAAAGGAAAAGAGAAAAAAGGAGAAAGGAGCAAAGAGAAAGAAAGAATGAGAAAGACGAGAAGCAAGAAAGAGGTGAAAAAAGAAAATAAAAGAAGAAAGGAGCAAAGAGAAAGGAAGGAAGGAAGGAAGGAAGGAAGAAAAGAGAAAGGAGCAAAGAGAGAGGAAGACAAGAGAAAACGAAAGAAACAAGGGGAAAAAGAAGGAAGGAATGAAAGAAGGAAGAAAGGAAGGAAGGAAAGAAAGGAGCAAAGAGAGAGAAAGACAAGAGAAAGGAGCAAAGAGAGAGAAAGTGAAAAAACAAGGGGAAAAAGGAAGGAAGGAAGGAGAAAGGAGTAAAGAGAGAGAAAGACAAGAGAAAGCGAAAGAAAAAAGGGGGGGAAAGGAAGGAAGGAAGGAAGGAAGGAAGGAAGGAAAGAAGGAAGGAAGGAAGGAAGGAAGGAAAGAGAAAGGAGCAAAGAGAGAGAAAGTGAAAGAAACAAGGGGAAAAAGGAAGGAAGGAAGGAAGGAAGGAAGGAGAAAGGAGTAAAGAGAGAGAAAGACAAGAGAAAGCGAAAGAAAAAAGGGGGGGAAAGGAAGGAAGGAAGGAAAGAAGGAAAGAAGGAAGGAAGGAAGGAAGGAAGGAAGGAAGGAAGGAAGGAAGGAAGAAAAGAGAAAGGAGCAAAGAGAAAGACAAGAGAAAGCAAAAGAAACAAGGGAGAAAAAGAAAGAAGGAAGGGCAAAGAGAGAAAGTGGGCGAGAAAGGGAAAGCAAAGCCGGCAACACTCACGCATCAGCGTGCTGAAGGCGACCAGGGCCAGCAGCGCCTGCACAAAGACCCCGAAGCGGTCGAGTAGCGCCCCGGGGCCGCACCCCTGCGGGCGGATCTTGACGCGCGTCAAGTTGGCCGCCGGCAGCTCGTCTGAGACCAGCGCCATCCCGGACCGAAGGCCAGCAGCCCGGAACCGCCAAGCAGAAGCACCAGCACCAGCACCAGCACCAGAAGCAAGTAGCGGCTCAGACGCGGCTGCGGACCCGGGACTCGCACCCCGGCAGGCTCAAAGTAGCGACGCTTCCTCCGGGAAGGGCTAATAAGGCTCCCCCGGGGAGGGCGCGGCTCAGAGGGAGGCAGCCACGCCCGCCTCGCAGCCGGAGCTTTGGGCTTGTTGGATACGGGCTTCATGTTAATCAGATCTGGGGGTGGGGTGGAGGCGCCCGGGGATCCCCTCTGCTTCCAAGCCAAGCCACGACCTGCGGAAATCGGCTCGATGCTTCCCCACGACAGCTTGATCCGCGACTGAATGAACCACTCATTTCCTCTGGACCCGCTTTCGGAAAGCAACAGGGTTGCATTTGCTGCAAAGGCTGGTTCGCCATGCGCGGGACTGGTTTTGGGGGGGGGGGAGGAGGGGGGGGTCTTCTTCTCGTAGCCCCGGATTTGGATTTGAATTTGGGGACCTCGGGGCTGCAGAGTCTTGCGTGCTGCAAAGCGCCGAGCGACTCAAAAGGGCAACCCAGTCTCCATAGATCTGCATAATTGATTGGCGGATCAATTTCTGGTGGCTCGGAGTTTTTCCAGAGCACCTCCGGTTGAACCACTGATGGATCCTCCGTAGGGAGAGGAAATATATCTTTGGGCCTGAAAAGGAGGACTACACCATCCCAGCAGGGCAGGGGAGTCCAAAGTTGGCAACTTTTAAGACTTGTGGACTTCAACTCCCAGAATTCCCCAGCCAGCATGACTGACAGAGGAATTCTGGGAGTTGAAGTCCACAAGTCATAAAAGGGCCAAGTTTGAAGACCCTTGATGTAAGGCAGTGTTTCCCAAACTTGACAATTTTAAGGCATATGGACTTCAACTCCCAGAATTCCCCAGCCAGCATGGCTGATAGAGGAATTCTGGGAGTTGAAGTCCACAAGTCATAAAAGGGCCAAGTTTGAAGACCCTTGATGTAAGGCAGTGTTTCCCAGACTTGACAATTTTAAGGCATGTGGACTTCAACTCCCAGAATTCCACAGCCAGCGTTTGCCTTAAAATTGTCAAGTTTGGGAAACACTGATGTAAGGGAAGGCTGTTTCTCTACCTTGGCTCCTATTTAATAGAATAACCATGACTGACTGAGGAATTCTGGGAGTTAAAGTCCACAAGTCTTAAAGCGGCCGAATTTGGAGAAAGCTGAAGTGGGGTTTACTAGCTGTTGGGATAGTGATGGGTCCTTGGTGTTCCCGGAGCTTAGTTGTCTTCTTGCAGATGTTTCATGACCCAACTAGGTAACGTCGTCAGTGCTAGAAAGGTGTGGGGTTTACTCTTATTTTATATTCTAGCGCAGGGCCTGGCTGAGGAATTCTGGGAGTTGAAGTCCACAAGTCTTAAAAGTGGCCAAGTTTGAAGACCCCTGCCCTAGTGGCTTGCCCTGTCAGGATTGGTGGGGGTGGTCAAGAAAACTATGGGAAACTTTCAACCTTCCAGATGTTGCTGAACTACAGTTCCCAGAATTCCTTGGAAGAAATGCTGGATCTGTCTGATAAAATTTTTTTCCTTGCCACCTTGGAGAAAAGTGTGGCTAGCAACTCAAGATCAGAAAAGAAGATTAGGGGAGTCTGCAAAAAATTCAAGATGGTGCCTATGATTCATTAAAACCCATAAAATGGGTGGAGCTTCAATCGCACTATTGTGGCCCTCGTCTTACGTTTTCACACTCTGTAGACAGCCCAGAGCCAATTCTGGATTTTGTAGCATTTTCTATGGTCCCACAACATGCCGGTCCATGCTTAATTGAATCATGGTTTATTGAATTAACCCAACAGCCTCACTTCACCTAAGACTTGAACTAACTTCGCAGAATGCTTCTAAAGCCACCTTCTCCACTTAGATACCGTATCTCCAGATGGGAAATTGAGTCCAAAACATCTGGAGGGACCCAGTCTAAATTCATTCCCTCTTCCTTTCCCTTCCTCATTTTGGCAAACAGATGTTTCAAGCACGATTTACTATAACGCAGCATTCCCATAGATCAGTGGTTCTCAACCTTTTTAATGCCGCGACCCCCAACCGGTCGTAAGTCGAGGACTACTCAACCGGTCGTAAGTCGAGGACTACTCAACTGGTGCAGCACCGTTTGCAGAATGGGACTTTTGGCGGGCTCAGCAGGGCAGAGACAGCCTGGACAATTCCTATTGGCTTTTGAAAGCCAATAGAATTAGACTCTATTCAAGAGAGTCTATTCTATTGGCTTTCAAAAGCCAATAGAATAAAAGGGAGTAGCACAGCTAAGGAAAAGGGGGAAAAAATGGTGGACTGCGTTGTTTGGCGACCCCCGTGAAATGGTCGTTCAACCCCAAATGGGGTCCCGACCCACAGGTTGAGAACCACTGCCATAGATGCATGATCAGAATTTGAGTGCTTGGCAGCTGGCTTGTACTTACGACAGTTGCAGCATCCCGGAGGTCACGTGATCTCCATTTGCGACCTTCCCAGCCGGTTTCCAACACACAAAGTCAATGGGGGAAGCCGGACTCGCTTAATAACCATGTTTTTCGCTTAATGACTGCATGATTCACTTAATAGCTGCAAGTGACTTGTTAATAACTGTGACAAAACAGGTAAAATCAGGCACGCTCATGTAACAACCACCTTGCTGAACAATGAAAACTGCATTTTGTATTTTGAAGAAAACATGGCTTAAAGCTGGCTAAAAGAAAAACCCTGAATTTGCTTAACACCTCATACTGTATTGCACAATTTGAAACCATGATGTATTGAATAACCCCTAACTGGCAAGGTTTGCGTAACAGGCTGAACTGTGATATGTATAATAATAACAACAACAACAACAACAACAATGGAAGGGACCTTGGAGGTCATCTAGTCCAACTCCCTGCTCAGGCAGGAAACCCTATACCATTTCAGACAATCAGTGGAACAACCTGCCTCCAGAAGCTGTGAATGCTCCAACACTGGAAGTTTTTAAGAAGAGACTGGACAGCCATTTGTCAGAAATGGTATAGGGTTTCCTGCCTGAGCAGGGGGTTGGACTAAATGACCTCCAAGGTCCCTTCCAACTTTATTATTATTATTATTATTATTATTATTATTATTATTATTATTATTATTATTATTATTATTCAGAAAATGGGGCAAAATTCGCTTAACAACTGTCTTGCTTAGCAACAGAAATTATATGCTCAGTTGTGGTCAGCCAGCTACGAATCCATCTGGTGGTGATGCTGTCTAACCCACATTTGTCTATCTTATCAAGTAGTAGACTGTGGTCTACTTTATCAAATGCCTTCCCGAAGTCCCATTAAACTATATCCACAGCATTCCTCTGGTCCTCTAATTTTGTCACTTGGTCAAAGAACGCAGTAAGATTTGTCTGGCATGATCTGTTTTTGACAAACCCATGTTGGCGTTTGGTAATGACTTTGTTTGCTTCTGGGTCTTTGCAGATTCATTGCTTGATTATCTTTTCCAGAATCTTCCCAGGTATTGAAGTCAGGCTGATAGGTCTGTAGCAGTGGTTCTCAACCTTTTTAATGCCGTGACCCCCAACCGGACGTAATTCGAGGACTACTCAGCCGGTCGTAAGTCGAGGACTACTCAACTGGTGCAGCACCGTTTGCAGAATGGGACTTTTGGCAGGCTCAGCAGGGCAGAGACAGCCTGGACAATTCCTATTGGCTTTTGAAAGCCAATAGAATTAGACTCTATTCAAGAGAGTCTATTCTATTGGCTTTCAAAAGCCAATAGAATAAAAGGGAGTAGCACAGCTAAGGAAAAGGGAGAAAAAATGGCGGACTGTGTTGTTTGGCGACCCCCGTGAAATGGTCGTTCGACCCCAAATGGGGTCCTGACCCACAGGTTGAGAACCACTGGTCTGTAGTTTCCCACATCTGTTTTTTTTTTCCCTCTCTCCTTTTTTGAAGATGGGAACTACATCAGCTCTTTTCCAGTCCTCTGATAGTTCCCCGATGTGCCATACATACAGAGACACGTTTTGATGAAAGCCTCAGAGCCTATGGAAACTATAAGGCCCAGCCCAGTTCTGCAACAGGATCAGCCTCATGTGAACAGAGGTAAAACTGATACTTCCAGGCTATTTTGAGCACCCTAAAACCTGAACAAGGAGAGGCGATTCTTGTTTATCTAGGCCAGTGTTTTTCAAACATGGCCACTTTTAAGATGTGTGGACTTCAACTCCCAGAATTCTCCAGGCAGCATGTTTAAGGGAATTCTGGAATTATGCTGGCTGAGGAATTCTGGGATTTGGAAGTCCACATGTGTTAAAGCATGCTGACTGCGGAGATCTGGGAGTTGAATTTCACAGATCTTAAAGAGGCCAAGTTTGAAAAACACCCATCTAGGCCAGGGGTCTTTGAACTTGGCCCTGTTGAGTCCGTGGCGGGAAAACAGACACGAGAAGCAGCTGGAGTTCTCAGTTTCATTTATTCAGCGTTCAGCTTACATGAAGATGGCTTCAGCCTCGCCCAAACGCCTCGCAGCCTCTTATATAGGCAACTCCCGGGTAAATGGGTTTCTTTTCCCGCGCCAGCACCCATGCATGCGCACGGCGCTGGCGACAGCCTGTCTGGTCCCGGGCAGCTTTGCACCTGCCCGGGACTGCCTGCAAACGCCCGAGCCGTTTGCAAGGCTCGGGACATAACACCCCTTTCCCCCGGGCTAAAACTACTACCAACATACAACATTTATTTTATATGACATTTTGCTCCCCAGTGCTCCCACTGATTACTGGCTTTTGCCTTGCCAGCAATGTTATGTAATCTTCTAGATACTTAGGAGATTTCTTTGCTCTCTGTGACCTTCTTAGCTCTGGGTTACTGGCATAAGTCCCCTGACTGGAGGGAGGCGTGAGCCTGTTCTCTCTATGTGCCCTGGTGTCTTCCAAGGACTGTGCCCGATGCCTGGCCTGCTTGCTTGCCCAACGGGCTCTTCAGGACAGGGCTTCTGTTTCCTTTGTTGGCCCTGGTTGACCTAACCTAGCTGTAGACCCTCAGGCGCCCTTGAGTGATAGCCGCTGCTGGGCGGCTCTTAAACCTCCTAGGTCCGTCCAAGACCTGTCAGGAGCTGTCCATCCCTGAACCACATTCGTGTTTCGGGCTCGTGTGGGTTTCTGTACTTTCCAAAACTCAGGTGTTCCCTGATTTGTGCTAGGGTTGTTGTAGTCGGGACTTGGTTCCTCGACTAGCTCTGTGTATGTTTGACCCCCTGTAGGATTTGGGGTAAGGTCAGGCCAACTTTGGGGATTGTGTGCCAGCTCTCTTGCGGGGAA